ATGTGGCCATAAGAACTCAGTAATTAAGGAACACAACTGCGTCGAGTTTGATTCGTCTTAATGGGTGGACCGTTTTTGATGGGTGGTGAGATATGATGGTTTAGTGGACGTGAGTATGCGACCCCTTCATTGGGAAATAAAGTTTGTTCGTTCCGTTTGTTATGAATGATGATTCTGTCTTTCATTAGGTGGATTAGATGATGAGCGCTGAATATTATGAATGAATGACTGAATAATTTTTTTTTGTTATTTATGAACATTTTTTTAACGTGGACGATGTAATTTTATTTTGTTTACGGCTATTTGAGGAGTTTTCATTTGGGTTGATTATATAATATTATTAACCCGTGTCCCGATAGTCCCGTCTTAGGCTACTTGTCATTGAAGTGGAGCCAGCGTGCGGAGTAGAGGAATAGAAAATATTGTAACCAATACGACTACATAAAATCTGGTAAAGTAGAAATAAATAAAAAGAAATTCCAAAAATAAGTAAGCCAACCAATAGCTACTTAAAAAATACTATACAGGGAGGCTTTTCTATGTGTATTTTTTTAGTACTTTTTTAATTAAATTCTAGACATAAAGTTATATAAAAATGATAAATATTTAATATCACTCGTAATTTATTAATTAAATTCATTTGAACTTTTCTCAGAAAGTGCGTGATTTATGGGCAACTCATTTATTTTACGCGCGATTAGTCATAACTAACACGCACACAAGTTCGTTTCAAAAGTATACAACGCATTTATGAATGACTACCGCATTGTCAACCAGTTCTGTTTTTTAGGGCATAGAATGCCAATTTAAAAACAAAGTTTGTTTTTATTTCAATAAACGATTATACTACCGAGTCTGAACCTCCTGTGTTAATTTGGCACCTTTATAAAAGCCATCCTGTATAACATGTGATAATAAAAAGCAACAAAATGTTACAAAGAAAAAAAGAATTTTGCAAATCCGTCTATATATGACGAAGTTATGCCCGAACATACCTACATAAAAAAATATAAACATCCCAATTGATAACCTCCTTCTTTTAGAACTCGGTTAAAAATACCTACTTTTTACTTGTATCTATGATTATAAAAATTATATTATAACTTCTTATCACTTGACCACGACTATGTGACCCACCCCTGGCACCAAAGCTGGATCCGCCCTTGTACTTACCCCAGGATGTTCTGCATCTTCCTGACGAGTCGTTGATCGATCGAGGTTCTTTAGGATCGCTATGGTGCGATTTGAGAACCGTGACACAATCGTAATAGAATTTTCGATTCAATACGAGAGTGCTGCGATGCTACCGACTGCGCCAGTAACCTAAGTATTCGGCGATCGGTATTTCAATAAAAAAATATTTATTTAATTAAATTACAAGGTTTTTTATAGATATATATTACTAAAATAATAATTTACTATTGTCATACAGACAATCAGGAATGGACTGATTTATAATTACATAAGATTTGTGAACTAAAACTAATTAGTCAGCGATCCGTCGGTGCCCCTTCGCCGTGCTGTCTGCCTGCAGAGGTGTTTATGACGTGCTCAGTCCCGCGCCCACCTCATTTACGTAATTACAAATCTTCTCAATTCCATTAACTAAAAAAATTATAATGGTGGCATAAGGTTTGTTTATTTTTGTAAACCTTGTTTTGGTGTAGGTAAAAGGATTTAACCAAAACTATCTATGTCTACTATATTCATAAGAGAAAAAAATTAAGGTGTTTAAATTTTTATAGTGCTAATCTCTGCACCTGAGATGAATATTAAAATGTATAGAAAAACAATTATAAAATTGTTTGTGTGCTTTAAAAGACAGCAATTGATGCACCTGAAAAGCTTGCCTCTAATAATAATTCATCAATCCTCCAATAATATAATTTTTGCGATGGCAGTTCAAGATAGTTCGAAACTTCATCTGAGGAGCCCTTGGAGTTAGTCGAGTTGTCCATTTTTTCTGTAACAGAAGTCACGCCGCCACGTAGGTGCAGCGGATTGGACGCCGTCATCGGGTGTCCGTGCGTTGTTTCTCCTGAATCCACGGGTCGATTATCCCGGACCTTATTAAAAGTATAGTAAAGTAACAGCCTATATATGTCCCACTGCTGGGCAAAGGCCTCTGTGCAGACTTCACAATATATCTTTGAAATATTCTTGTTGTTATTATTTCTAAAATATACTTATAAAATATTATTTCTATATATAAATATAAATTATTAAATATATATAAATATGAAATATTATTTCTATATATATATATCTTATAAATATATAAATATAAAATATTATTTCTAAAATATGCAGATTTTTCACTGTTTTCTTTCACCGAGCATCTGAGCACGTGATGAGACAGCACTTAAAATTAACAGTTTCATTGTTGGCAGCATCAGGGATCGAACTCAGGTTGCTCGAGTATATCGAATAAAAAACGAGTGCCCGAAAAATGCCTTTTTTAACGGCTTGGAATTTCTTCATAGAGCACCCACGGAGCTCTTTCGAAGAAACTGTCAAATCCTCCGGGCTAACTGCAACAGCAAATTTTACTTACATATTAAAAAAAAGATTTTTTGTTTCTCTTAAGGGTAATAATAGGTTTCTCTAAAGGGTAATAAGAGGTTTATCTGGAAACAGGTGCAGTGTCCGTTATAGATAACTGTTATTATATAAAATTGATATGATTGTAGATAAAATAACGAATTATTTTTAAATAATCATATAGTCTTTTATTTATTCAAACCCGCTAGACCTTATTTTAAGTAAGCGATTATTTGCATAAATAAATCCTCACAACACAAGCCTACCGCGAAGTGACTGCGAATGCCACTACTCATTAGAACAAGACACGAGGCATATGAAAGGGAACGACACAATTAGGTCAGGACCCATTAAGGTCAATTTTACTTTGCTTTATTATTTTTTGTCACATACAAAATTATGCTCTAACATAGTAAAAATAGTAAGGAAATATTCCAAGCTAATATGTTTAGTTCGTATTGCAAGTTATGTTAGATTATTTAATATTATTTTTTAATAAAAATAAAATCAGTTCGGATAATTCGCTTGATCTCGACGTATTTGTTTAGCATTAATTTTTGAGTGATTGGGGCATCGATTATTTGTTGTGTTTATATAGTTTATTTAGTTAAATAAAAATTCTGATGGAACTATTTTTCCGTGGTAGACGAACATGGTAAAAAGCGGAGTGTAAGTGTTGTACATTTTATAAGACTATTTATATAAAAAAGTAAAATATCTTATTAAACTATTGTACATAACATCAATGAACTTTTAAGTTCGCCTTACTATTTAATTTTCTAAGTAGAATTAATAGTACTGTTTTATATGTATATTGCTTAAATCGTTATATTTTATCACAAACGATAATCATAGTCCATACAATTACTTGATAATTTTTTTACTGCCTTATGAGCCTTGAATATTAATCCTTTACTAAAAATATGGCCCGCTAATCGCTAACCCGACAGTGAAGTATTGTTATTGTAAGTCTGTAGCCATAATAATTGTTTAAAAGCACACATGATGCTTTGCGACGAAAATTAAACGAAAATTAAAAATTATAACGTTTCGTAGAACAAAAAGAATACCTAATTATGGTAGGGCCGTAACAGTGTTCACTGGTAGTGGTGCACGAATGGGCAGGTCCGTCAGGGTAAGTACCACGACCTCACAGAAGACCGGCGTAAAGTAGAAGTGTTACCCTTCTTCGTTTTGTCTGGTGAGTGAGTTAGCATGGAGTTAGCCGAGACCCACTTTATTTAAAGGTGGCAATGCATTTGCAACCTTACGGGTGTTGCAAAGTCGAGGGCGGCTTTTTTCACTCAGCTCGTTTGCCACTTTCTCACACATAAAAAAAAAACTAATGTATTATAACATAAAAAATATTCGACCTATTAAAAGTAGCGCTATATCACAATTTATTAATATATAGTCGTTGCGAACACTCATAATCACTATTTCTACGCAGCTATTGCTACGTCCGTTCCAATAACTTTCTCAATAAATAAGTGTATAATCTATGGTCCGTTCCGTGTCCGGCCGCTTTGATTACGAACGAATCACGTTTGACAGGCTTGCCAACTTATGGCTTTTAGCCCATTTAGGGCGGAATATGCATATTACTGTTTTTAAGGTCAAAAAAATTTTGGGCTATTTTAATGAATGTGCTGTTAATGAATGTAATTAATGAATTTTTTGTTATTTATTTCAACTGTGAATATGAAATGTAATGAAAAGTAATTAAAACTAATTTAAATTTATTAACCTTAACAATATGTGAAACTCATTTAAACAATATCTTTGAATACAATACAGGGATTTTTGGGGCTTTTATGAAATTGTTTTTTAGGACTTTTAAGGGTTTTCATCTTGATTTAGGGCCATTTCTTTAAATAAGTTGGCAACATGGCAACACTGTTTTAACGTTTACGATATACACGACTGGCCTGGCCTGGCGGTGTTTTTTTTCGTTCATGATTTGATTGTGTCAAAGTTAAACTTAGCGATTTAACTACTTTAAATAGGTACTTATAACTAACTTTTAATTTCGTTACCAAGTACATAAAATCTAAGGACTATCCTACATCTTAAAAGGTACAGTTTAATTTTGAATATTTGCTATATTTTTTTAGTAAAATTTTAGTTATTTCATAATAACAAGTAAAATTATACAAACTTTTTATAATGCCATTAATTAATTTATTAGTAAAACTGATTTATTTTTATACACACTTAATTTTAGTTTTGTTTCTATCAATCTTTTTTAAAACAAATAGAGTGAAATAAGTTCCTCACATTTATGACTCACTTCTCTCATTGGCCGTAAGCTGATCGTTTATTTACATCTGAACTAAAAAGTGTAACTGTTATCGCCAATAAGGGTTTTGTTTACCTAATTATATATAGTATGAATAATTTGTTTAATGTTTTCTGCTAAATTAGTACAATTAATGAGTGCATTTAAATTTCAGTTCAAAATGTCCTTCCAGTCACCTGTGCCTAGTCGGGAGTTTTTGTGGGACATCTTTAGAAGGTATAACATAGAAGGGTAAAAATTTACAACATTATGTCTCGTTTTTCAAACTTGAAAAATGTTTTAATCAATAGAGAAATGTTAGTAATTGAAATATTATTTAAGTTAAAACCCATATAAACACTTTGTTTTCATAAAAAAACAATTAAAATTTGTTATTTTCATAACAAAACAAAATTGTGTATTTTAATTGGGTAAAATTAAAAAAAAATATTATTTTTTGTTGTAATCTAGTGGTTTTCATGTATATTAACTTTTATAGCCATATATATAAGTTATATATACATATCCCTGTCTGGATCCTCAAAGACAACATTCTAATAATAAAGTAAAGTAACAGCCTATACATGTCCCACTGCTGGGCAAAGGTCTCCTCTACACAGAGGGTATACATATATGACTATGCAGGTTGCCTCACAATGTTTCCTTCACCGCGGAGCATGTGATAAGTCAGCACCTAAAGTTAAAAACTTCATTGGTGCCGGCACCGGGGATCGAACTCAGGTTGCTCGAGTATATTGAATTAAAGACAAGCGCCCGGACATTGAGCTATCACGGCAGTTAGAATGTACATATTTAAATCTCTTGATTCTCAAAAATTATAAGTTTTTGAGAAAAATCCTACTAGTATTTGCTTTGAATGGCCTTTTACTTACCTGTACCAATTAAAATTATACTGAAAGTCATGCTACCGGATAGGGATGCCAATGCAAGCCTAAATATGCAACTCTTCTGAAACTTAATTGCCCCAATTGACTCCCATGTATGATCTGACTACCCTAGAGACAATCAGTAGATAAAAATTGGCATTCTTAGCCACAAAGTGTATTTTTTTTGCAGAGTTGATAAAGATCGTAGTGGATACATTTCAGCGGATGAATTACAACAAGCACTGTCTAATGGAACATGGAATCCCTTTAATCCAGAAACGGTCAGACTTATGATTGGTAAGCAGCATTAGTTAATACATTTTTACTAATGGATTTTTACTTTTATTAGATTTATTAGTCTGTCTTCTAAAGTATATAGCATCCACATGTATTGTTACATGTAGGTACCATTTAACAAAATTGTGATTTTTCTGATGTCATTTATCAATGATGATACCCTTCCATGAAGTGCACATTTGTCAACATCAACCTCATTATAAAAATATGTACTTGCCGAAATTATTTCCCATTGCGATAGTAATTGATTGCTTGCTTCACTTTTAATCAGTTATGGAAAAAATGGTACATAATTGTTAAGTATAGTGTATGTGTAGTTGTTGGAACAATAAATTGGTCATATTTTCCTTGCATTAGCAAACATAATATTTATGATTGTAAAGAGGGATTTTGTAGTCCTTGTCCTACTGAACCCATTTTGACCAATGTACTTGCAATTAAAACAGTAACTCTTTCATGTTGTGAGCACACTTACTCATTGTAATAATAGAATAGTGGCTTCATTCTTTATGATTTGAATGTTATGGTATTTCTTGAACTTTTTCTTGGAGATGTCAGCACACTAGCAAATTCTGTCATATGTGAATGCCTACTTATTCTTCAATACTTCACAACATAAGTGTGGTAGGGCCATGCAATGGTGTAGAAGTGTTACATTTCTGTTTCGTCTGGTGAGTGAGGTAGCCGGGGCTGACTTTATTTGAAGGTGGCAACACTTTTTTAACGGCCGGCGGATATAACTTAACATCAGGTAAACTGCCAGCTCGTTTGCCACTTTGTCACATAAAAAAAATACTTATTCAAGACTTTTCTTGACAGCAAGGGGAGGCGCCACATTCACTAATTTCATTGCTCCCCTGATTGATATAAGAAATAAGTTCTAGTTATTTTTACCAAAATTATTTTTGCTGTAATGGCCAGTTTCAATATTTTATCTACAGATAGATTTGGTTACTAGCGATAGGTATTTGAAATAAACTCCATAATAATTACGTCAAAGTTTTAACTTCAGTAACTAAAGTATGAGTACTTCTATGCTTTAGTTACTTCTGTAGATTGAATATTGAAACCGGCCGTTAGTCTACTTGGCCATATTAGACTATGCAGATGTCAGCTACCTGGATCTCCCTGAAGCAAACTGATAAGTTTGAAAATATTCAAAAGTTTTTGTATGTAATTCATATTTCGCTTGGGCAAATATGATCTTAAATTTTCGTTCTAAGCTCAAGCGCTTTTTCGAAAAAAATGCAAAACAAAGTAATCTGACCACCCTTTGTGCAACATATGATTAAATTAATTATTTTACTACTCGTCATGACGTGTGCGATAACGAATATCATTAATTCATGGCAAGGTCTTTGATTTTTCTAGTCAGGCTATAATTTAGAAGACAAGCGCTAATTAACTAATTCAAAAATGTTCGGACCATTCATTGAAAACAGGTAAAATTAAAAATATTAGCATGTACATAATTATATTTAGTTGCAAATTCGGGCGAACTAAATCACGGGCAGAAACCTGAGTGGATCACGTGTGAAGAATGTTTATCCATTAGGGGCCATCCATAAATTACGTCACACGTTAAGGGGGAGGGAGGGAGTCGACGATGTGTGACAAGGGGTCCCAAATTTTGTGACATCACATACCTATTTTCAAATTATAATATTTTATATTATTACAACACTAAATTAAAACTACATATCTAATCATAAAAATGGTTGCAACTCTATCTACATGACTATAAGGCTTAATTTGTTTTCTTGGCAAATTCGTTTTCGCCGTACTGTTGTCACGAGCCGAAATCTGAATGGTGATTAATAATATTCCTGTAGTTGCCGAATCCATTGCGCCAACAGATACTAGACTGGATATCGAACAGGCTAAGGTATTGACATATGATGCAATTTGGAATGTACATCATGTACGTGAATCATAATATTTATTACAATTAGTAAAATGCGACGATGTTCTGTTTTGATGAAATAGACGTCGAACGGATATGTAACCATAGAAAAAGATGACTGCGAAGGAAAATTCGTCTCACTGTTACTTCAGCTATCTTTGGATTTCAGAGCTTCATCTTATTTGAAGCAGGTTCCGTTCATACGGATTCCGTTCGTCTTAGCTATTGCCCCAGTGTCGAGGCATACTTATTTAAGCGATCGTGTGGTATCTGTGGTCTATATTTTGTATCATACAAGACCTACAAAAAAAAAACCCAAAAAGAAGTATTATTGCCCATCGCGAAAATTCGGCCTCAAAGACTTGCCAGATAAATTCTTTGTTTCAATGATTACAATGATTCTTTATGGTTGTATTTATAAGATCTTTACACAATTAATGTTTCTGATGATAACTGTCCAAATGAGAATGATGTGACTACTCGTACTATGCCAGTTATAAATGATATAAAGGAATGGGTTCGTAGACAATGGACTCAATATGATAAAGTTTTTATCTTTCATTAATAAAAAAAATCAAAAAAATTATTTATATTTTTTAATTTTTATTTATTTTTATTGTTTGTTAATTTTCATCCCTATGTTTAATTTCATGTTCATTGAAAAATAATTTAAATGGAAATTTCGGAATACTGTTGTTTTAATTACATAAATTTCTAAATGTAAAATTTAAAAATATGTGACATCACACTAGGTAGGGGCAACAATGTGACCAGCTGAAAATCATGAAAATCGTGTGACTTAATTTATGGATGGCCCTTTATTTCTTTAAATTATCCATTATTTTTAGCTTTCAGTCTGAGAAATTGTAAAAAGTATATTTTTTTTAGTTTGTTTCTTAACAAAAAATTTATTTAAATATCTCAGTCACTATAAATTTTCTTTTTGATTTTGAGGCGTTCCCTGATGTATCTTGGGAGCCCAAAGTCCAATACCAATGAAATTAATATGGGACCACCTAATCCAATTCGTAAAGAATTATTAAAATCGTTCTTACGGATTTCTGAGGTGTTTTTGTTTCTAACAAAAAAGACAATGGAATTGAGCACCTCTTCCTTTTTGAAGTCTGTTGAAAAAGTATAATTCCAAAGTAGAATCGTTAAGTAACTGTTTGAAAAACATGATGGAAAATGTATTTAAATTAAATTGCTAAGCAATAATTGCTTAATTTCAATGAAAATCGTCACTTTGTTAACGATATTGTTTATATTCTTCATATTGAATTTTAAACTACCTCCCTCATGCTGCCATACTGAATATTGATCAATTGTTAGTTTATTATTATTGTTATATTATTTTTGTTTAATAGGAATGTTTGACAAGCAGAATAGGGGAGTTATATCATTTGAAGATTTCGGAGCCTTGTGGAAATATGTCACAGATTGGCAGAACTGCTTTCGATCGTTTGACAGAGATAACTCTGGAAATATCGATAAGCATGAATTAAAAAATGCCCTTACAGCATTTGGATACAGATTATCCGATGAAGTGGTATCCATTATGTTGCAAAAGTTCGACAGGTTCGGTCGCGGTACCATTTTGTTTGATGATTTTATACAATGCTGTGTTACATTATACGTAAGTTATTTTAATCAATTTATTTTTATTATTAATGGTTTATGTGAGAAAAAAAAACTATCGTTTAAAAGATTAGAAAAATTTGAGAGGTTAAAAATGAGATTACCTTTGAAATTATGAGATTGTGACCGTAATTAGCATCAGGATTTGCTCTCTGAGAAGACACGGTTGTTTTACACATTTACAGTTTTTTAAATAATTATTTCTCATTGGGGTCCGTTTTTGGGTGACTGGTTTAAAATCTGTGTTTTATGGAACAAAAAGTTTTGGGAAATGATTTATTATACACAAATATGTTGTTAATGCGCCCGAAGTGAAGAAACGAAAACGTCTTTAGTTCACATTAGGCAGGGCAGGGCGGCGAGTAAGACGCGGTCTCAAAAATTATACAATAATAAAAATGTTATTGTGTGTCTGTTTCTATAGATGTACTAGGAACGACTCACAAATAAGTTAAACTAGCGACTCGCCCCGAATTCGCTACGGGTGCAATGTATTATACATATAGAGCTTCCTCTTGAATTTTTCTAGTTAAAAAAAAACCGCATCAACATCGTTAGTAGTTTTAAAGATCTAAGCATACGTAGGGACAGACAGACAGCGGGACGACTTTGTTTTATAAAATGCAGTGATACGGAGTGAAGAAAGAGGTATGTCTCTCGTGTTTTTTTCCACTTACGCTAATTTGACAAACATTTGCCGTCCTCTTTTATTCTTATTCATCCAATTATGCTTTACTTTTATTACCATGACATGTGCGAGAAAGTTATGATGAACGAAACGTGTGAATGTGGCCTGGTACTCTGTTTAGAAATTGGAACACTTTCGCCCGGTGATTTTGTAAGCGTATAACAATGATATTTTACACTACAGATGTCGTTAACGCGTCCGGAGTGAAGCTACGTAAACGTCCCAATTGGGAAGAAAAAGGAAAGAGGCAGGAAATAAGTTAAATATGGGGACGAGAAAGTTCTGTGCACCTCGAAATTTTTTTACACTTACGCTGTATTGACAAACACTTGCCTTCCTCTTTTCTCTTTACCAGTGTTTCGTATACCTATAACATATCAATAGCATAAAAATCATTGGTTTTGGGAAACTTCAATTGCGCTAGTAATCTGTCTTAGATTACTAGTGCAATTGAACCTACTGCTTTTTAACCAGTAAGGTCTAAGTATCTAAGACCCTACTGGTTAAAAATACATTAGCGCATTTAAAATGAATTTTTTAGTCTATTCTGGTTAAGAATTTACTATTTCTTTTCCACTTTATTACTACGACTTATAATTTTAATTGTTTTTTAGACTCTGACCTCTGCATTCCGAAATTATGACACCGATCAAGATGGCGTCATTACCATCCACTATGAACAATTTCTTAAAATGGTGTTTGGTTTAAAGGTATAATATAAGATACTACTATTGTAATGAATAATTGCCATTATCTTTGTCAAAATCGGTTAGTGTGTACTTGACAATCTTTCCTTTAAAAATCGATAAACTTACTGCACTACACTACTATTTGATTTTATGCTACATAATGTTTAGACCGTCAATATTTCAGCATTATAGGCATATCATTGCAACAGCTTGTTAGCAGCTGTTTGGTTTTAATATTAATCAAAAACTTGAAATTTATCGATTTTTAAATATCTTTGACACTTTTTTAATACATTATGTTTGATGAATACAGCACAAATATAAGTTTTAAAATTCTATAAGAAAAGTAATTTTGCCTCATAGATAATTTTTAAAAGTGAAATATTTTCATATTAAGCTTTTTTTGAGAAAATGTATATTTTATTTTAACAACTAATGTGCTGGTAGATTTTTTATATAAAATTATATTTATCTTAAACAGAAGAAGCAGATACTACCAGAGAATGTAATTTCTTTTTAAGTATATGTTGTAAAAATATATGTTGCTCACAAATCATCTGTTAAACATTGCAAATATTAAAAAACAAAAACTATTGTAAATGCACGAAGTATGTCAAATAATGCAAAATTATTGCTGTGGATTTAAAATACATTTAAATTACTTCTTTGCAGTCCAAATGTCTTACAAACGGAATTAAATAATAACTAAATAAAACGTCAGTTTGGGTAACTTTGAACAGTTTTTACAGAATTTATGCTATTACAATCTGATTTATATCTATTAAGTATACCTTTATTTTATTGAATGAATAGTGGCCTTTTGAGTTGGTTTATTTTGCCGACACAATAAATTTACGGAAAATCAACAGAACTATTCACAATTTCCCCCCAAACTCAAATTCAAAGTTATCGTGAGTTTAGGGTAACTTTGAATATAATTTTTTTAGGATGTAAAAGCCATCATTATTCGAATATTTTAAATGATATGATATGGGTAAAATGATATGAGGTATTTTCATTAAAAAAATATTTAATATTTGCAAAAATACCTTATCTCTAAAAATTACATCTACATTAACGTTTAAATGTGATAGATATAGCTTGGTCTTGCCATTTGAATCAAAGTGGACCAATTTGGCGGGAAATATAATAGTTATTATTTATAATTTTTTAATTATATCAAGATAAAGTTGGAACATAAGAGTGTAACGTAATAAATTATAAGTTTATTTGGTTATCAAATGACATCAAAATCGTAATCACTATCACTAAATGTGGGCGCTGAGATTATCGCACAACAGCATATGCCACTTTGCTTATCAACGTGTGGGATAAAATGTCTTTGCAACCACTTGTCAAAGATTGAAAAATCTATCCATCCAGATTCGGACACAGCCATTCTCGAACCTGAAGGAGTTTGAAAAAGCCAATCTGACCACAGTTTCCTTTAAATATGAAAAGGAGGCAAAACTTCACCACCAGCATTTGCAAAAAAGACCACAGTATTACACAGTATACACACGATTTACTGCCGTTTTTTATAACTTCAGGATGTCGAGAGACCCATCGAAAAAGCAACATCTTCTTTCCAGGATCGTTATGAAATTCCGACTCATCCATGTTGTACATATTTTCTGATGGGACTCCTTCTATTTACATTTCAATATTATCACAGAAATTCTCGACCATTTCTCGAGTAACTTAAGCCTGTTTCAGGTCAGTTTCATATGTTACACCTATACGGGATATAGCTATTTTTGCTTGTAATTCTGGGTTTCTTTCTAGGAACAAGACACCCCATTCGTAACCCGGCAAGTTATAATAATATAGCTTTGAACCATCCAATGTTACCCATATTATTTCGATTTTGAACGTTGTCTAAACTTTATCCGTTTTACACGATATCTAACATCAAATACGGATAATGATTTGAAATTAATAATATACAAGGTGGCTTTTCTAACTGTATCCATTTTTTTGAATTAAATTTTAGACATAAATAATATAATATAAAAATGATAAATATTTAAAATCACTCTTAAGTAATTAATTACATTAATTTGAACTTATCTCAAAAAGTGCGTGATTTATACGCAACTCATTTATTTTACGCGCGATCATTCATAACTAACACGCACACAAGTTCGTGCACAGTAAAATTTAGGTATTTATGAATGACTACCGCATTGTCAACATGTTCTGTTTTGGAAATAGAATGGCATTTTGTTTAGGAAAATATTTCAATAAATTGATTATACTACCGAATCTGAACCTCCTGTGGGCACTTCTCAAAAAATCTCCCTGTATAAACTACCATTTAGAGATAAAAACCAAATCATGCCTGTTTCCAATAATCTTTGTATTTTTAATTACGATTCCTAATCAGAGCAACAAATACTTCCAATGACTGCACCACGGAAAAGGCAGGAAATTTGCTAAATTATTGCATTAAAAGTTTATTTTTTTACTTTTCGTTATTTCAAAACATTTTGGCGATCGTTTTACGCATTTAAGATATTGAAACAAAATACAGTTTTCTTGTAATAAATTAATAAATCTTTCACACTTCACAACTTTGTTCAAAGTTAAACCGCTATTTAAAGTTACCCAAAACGACTGTAACATTACCTATTTCTATTTTAGTAACCTAAATTTAACATTACAAGCTTTCATTTGATATAATTTTATAGACTGCTGTATTTGAATTTTTTGGCTGCTCCAGTATCCAGAGACCTAATGCTTATAGTTATTGTATGTGCATGGATTTCACTCTTTTCAATATTGTACTATGTCACATGTTTATTAAAACTATTTGTATGATTTATAACATTTACAAAAAAAAAGTATGCTTAAAATGATTTAAAAGTATGCTTTTATTATTATGAATTGATTGTAAAAAAATGCTTGACTAAATATTTTTGAAAATAAGTATCCTAATATCCATTGAATTGACCATTATATTAAATAATATAGACAACTTTAGTCAGTCTAACTATATATTTCTCTTCCGTCCAGTGTTGGCCGTAAACACCGGTGTTGCCTTGGTCCATACACTTCAAAGGTTTGGAATGTTAATTAATTATATACATTGTAATTACTTGTTTAAAAAAGTAAAAATTTTGTATAATTGCATAGGTTATAATCTCAACTATAGGTCTAACTCTATTAGACACCATGAATAAAATTGAATGTTTTAGTAAATTAAATTATTCAATGCTTGTGAAATGTCATTTTTCTCAATAAATTGATTACTTTTATTTAGTAGAGATTAATTAGATGGAGGTTAAGCCACAATGTGGCTACAAACATAAAGATCTTTAACATCATCCATTTCCTAGAGTTTTTATGTGTAAAGTGAGTTAGTGATTTAGAGTGAAGTAATTGCTTTTTGTGTTAAGTATGGTGCAAGTACATAATCCCAAGTTGAAAGATGAACAAATGCAAAAATAAACATTATTATAGTAAGCAAAAAATAGGATTACTTCTAAATATTTTTTTAATATCCAATTACATTAAGTATATTGTTATTCTCATAGACCTTTTTCTTTAATGTGATGAGCTTGTTAATTAAAAAAAATATAGTGATATGAATATATTTGAAATGGTTCTTGTATTATAATAATGATTACATTTATGGGATACTTTTGAGGCATTCAAGTGGTTGCATTGATTCCAATAACCTAAGGTTTAGATTGTTTGAACTGTTTACCTCAATAAATTATATTTTTTAATAAGCTTTGAGACAATTTATAGTATCTGTTTTTGAATGTTGTAAATTCATTGTTATTGAATTTTAATTCGAATGTTGCCAAAAATTCGTCAAAACTTATAAAAATGCTCAATTTAATAAGCGGGCCTATTGGTTTTAAATTCTAAGGTTTTTTTTTTGAAAATTGTTTCAAGTTTTAGATGTCTTAGCTGTAGTTTACCTAAATTTATTGATGCAAATTCTCAAAATATTCCATAATAATTAAAGATATTTGTATGTATACTTTTATTTATTTAAAATTATTGAAAGGCATTTGATAATGAAAATTGTTGCAAATAGTTTAATATATTTATATTACAGAATATAATATTCAAATAAATGCTTAGATTTGTTATTTGCTTAATTTATTTTATTACATTTTACCTTCCACACTCCAATTCTATACTTCAGCCAAATAAGACCTAAGTCACAGCCCATCTGTATCCATGAAAGTACCGGGGTTACTTTAGATCCTTCAATCTCTGTCCATCTCACTGAAACTTCAGCTATTGGAATGTTTAATTTTTGTGCGATATACAATAGTTCCACATCAAATGCCCTGAACAAAAAATCTTTTTTATTTCATATCCTTGAATCTAATTTTATTTCAATTCATGTTTTAAGACATACAAAGGGGAATTAAGTACTGAAGTTGTGATATTTATATAAGCTTAAACTTGAATTAATTATAAACATTTTATAATCAATCAAAATAGTTGAATAGTATTTTTTACTATTGAATTTATTAGAATTCCATCTTTGTAATAAACATAACAATTTAGTTCATATATTTACCATCGATTTACATGCAGGCTTTGAAAACATATGTTTGCAGATTTCCTTGTAAACAACTTAAACCCACACTGAGTATCCTTTATGCCTCTTACTGTGAATAACCAGACTAAGAAGTGGAAACCATACATAAGTAAATTCCTAAAAAAGATAAATCAAAACATTCATTTGATTATTGTTATAGCTTGCCTTGCATTTATGTGTCATCTACTAGTTTGTGCTTTTAGAAACTGATAACTACAGATTCAGGTAAAAAATTAAATAAATGGTAGTTATAGAGTTTAAATTCAAAAATCTACATAAAAAATCATATGATACCTAAAAAGACTTCTTGTGGCCAAGGATTCTCTTTCTAAGTGTGCTCTAGACCCTATAGATAAAGCAACTTTTTGACTGACAAGCTCAGGCTCGGTAACTGGATCACAGCTGATAATATCTTTCAATGCTCTCTCCAGTTTAACTAAATCTTCAAATTTAGATGCACCATCTGCATCTGCAAATAGTATTGTAGCACCCCGGGAACTTTGCACACCCTGTTGGTTTAAATATAATCATTTTACATCCTAATAATACATTGGACAACATTTCAACAGTTTATGCAATAACTCAAAGATAACCAATTGTAATACTACTTTTAAGTTCATATATACAGGGAGACTTTTTTAAAGGTGTCCAAATTTAGACAGGAGGTTCAGACTCGGTAGTATAATCATTTATTGAAATAAAAACAAACTTTTTTTTTCAAAAAAATTACCATTCTATTCCTTAAAAAACAGAACTTGTTGATAACGCAGTAGTCATTCATTACTTACAGAGTGATTTAAAATATTTTTTTTTATAACATTACTTATGTCTACAATTTAATTAAAAAAATGGATACACTTAGAAAAGCCTCCCTGTAGACATTGCATTTTATTTTGGAATTTTTAATTTGTATATTCTATATATGCATAAAAAACTTATTGATACAAGAAATTATGGATCTCATATGAATTATTAAAATTTTGTACAATAATGGAGTATTGTAAAGTACTAATTAATTCTTAAATATAATTTTGAACTGCATACCAACTGTACTGCTCCACCTTTTCCTCTATTTTCAATCAATTCAAGGCATCTTATTTTATCACTTCCATATTTCTTGGTAAAATCTTCTGCAACATTGACTGTATTGTCCTTACTTCCATCACTAACAACTATAACTTCATACTTATATGCCGGAAACTCTTTTATTCTCTTTTCCATGAATTCAAATGTTTCATTTAGCATTGGTGGTACTAAATACAAATCAAATTGATATTTACCAATTACTCATATAAATCTATCATGTCAATTTTATAACAAAGACCATTAATTATGAATTAACCAATTTATTAGAATAAAGCAATATCAATACATACATAAGCAGTACCTAATATAAATTAAGGTCTTTATGAGGGAATCAAGAGATAAATGAATTTATTCCTTTACAAACAATTTTATAACAATAAACAATATCAGATAAGGTATGTATGCATAAGTACTTGTACAGTATATATGTAATACTACATTGTCATAATTTATATAAATAAATAAATTTAGACTACTTTTGAACTTAAATTTGCTCTTAATAAAATATATTTAATTATATATAAAATTATTATAATGCTCCTATGATTTTGATTTTATTTTAAAGGGAATTGTTTAAATTGAAAATAATTCATAATTAATTGAAATGTGTATACAGGATAAAAAGTTGATTTGAAGTGCCAACTATCATCATCATCAGCCGCAAAACGTCCACTGTTGAACATAGGCCTCCCCCTTAGCACGCAACAATGAACGACACTTTCCCATTTGCATCTACTGGTTGCCCGCGACTTTTATGATGTCGTCGGTCCACCTAGAGGGAGGTCTTCCAATGCTACGTCTTCCGGTTCGTGGTCGCCACTCGAGAACTTTTACTCCCAATCGGCCATCCGCGATGTGGCCTGCCCACTGGCACTTCAACATGCAAATACGGAGAGCTATGTCGGTGACTCCGGTTCTTCGGCGAATTTCCTCGTTCCGGATTTTGTCGCACAAAGAAACTCCGAGCATAGCTCTCTCCATAGCTTGTTGTGTGACTCTGAACTTCTTCTAAAGATCAGCTTTTAGAAACCACATCTCAGTGCTATACGTCATCGCTGGCAACACACACTGGTTATAAACCCGGCCATTGTGCTAAGCGTTTGTGGACTATGAAAAGCCTTCGATTCAATCGAGACCTGGGGCGGTATTGCAGTCCCTCCAGCGATGTCATATCGACTATAGGTATATCGAAGTTCTGAAGTTTTTGTATAGAAAAGCCACCATGTCCATCCGTCTACAGAATGAGAGCACAAAAGCAATTCAATTGCAGAGAGGCGTGAGACAGGGAGACGTCATTTCTCCGAAACTGTTCACGACCGCATTGGAGGATGCTTTTAAGCTCTTGGACTGGGACGGATTCGGCATCAATATCAACGGCGAATACATCACTCACCTTCGTTTTGCCGACGATATAGTCATAATGGCAGAGTCGCTGGAGGACCTTAACACTCCCTCTGGTGGACTGACGACATCATAAGAGTCGCGGGGAACTGGTGGATGCAAATGGCAAAGTGTCGTTCGTTGTGGCGTTCTAAGGGGGAGGCCTATGTTCAACAGTGGACGTCTTGCGGCTGATGATGAAGTTTACAATATAATAGAACAAGTATGTCTTATTTTATCCTGTGTGAGTATCAACAGTATTAACCTCACACATTGGCTTCGTCAAGATATTCCACAATGGTATAATATCCTTTAGCCATAAATTCACTTTTAATTTTGCGTTAAAATTGATCTAGTGGCAGACTTAATACTGACTGTGGGATTTTATTATACATGCGCACACTTTGCCCCATGATAGATCTATTTACTTTTTGTAGATGAAACAATGGCGTAATTAATTTTTCCTTATTTCTAGTATTTAATTTATGTCTGTCACTATTCTTTAGGTAACAATTAATATTATGTCTAACACTATTCTTTAGGTAACAATTAATATTATGTCTAACATACAAAATATTACAATTAATATATTGCGACACAAATTCGGTTTCGGTTTCGGTCGTAAAAATCAGTTTTCGGTTGGACGCTAGAAATAACTGAACTAAACAAGTCTGGCAGTGTCAATGTCTGATAGTGCCTAACCATCCTAATCGCAAGAACAGCGGAGCTTAGCCTACTCGCAAGAGATGATAGATGGGGATTCAATTGGAGATTTGAATCTACTGTAATCCCCAAGAAAATTATGCTTCTGGCTATGAAGTAGAACAGAATTGAACAACTTCTGGAAGACTTATAGTACAGGTTTTCCAACCGCTCTCAGAAGTTCAGTTGTAATTCCATCGTAGCCCGGTGCCTTGTTGTTCATAAGCTATTTCAGAGCCACTCTAATCTCGTACAAGCAAATTTTTGGGATATCCTCAGTGTAGTGTCAGTCAACCAAATATAACAAAACTGATATATATTTTACAATAAAATTGATGCAAATGGAAAAGTATTGTTTGTTATGGTGTTCTAAGGGGAGGCCTATGTTCAACAGTGGATGTCTTGCGGCTGATGATGATGATGATAACAATATAATTTTCACCTATGATAAATATTATAAAGACTACTTACATCTTTCTTCTTCATTATATGCAGGAACAATAATAGATAAATTTAAACTTTGTGGGTCACTGATACTTGGAAAGTGTAATCTACTCGCTGTTTTTGGATCAAAAAACGTTTCCTCCTCCTTGTGTCTCTTAACAACTTCATATGTATTTGTTGTCAAGAAAACAAATATGAAGAGCTAAGAACAATTATATAAATGTAATATAGAAAGTCTGTTAAAAAATTATAAAATACTAAATCAAAATAATATCAATTTTAACATTTAAATTCATGAAGTAGCATAATATCATAACAAATTAATAAATAGTTATGAATTCCACAATGATAATTATTTTTTCTAAAGGCTACAAAGTATTATCTACATAGACTGAAATAATTGTACACGTTCCAGATTTTTGGAATATACTAAGAACTCACCAACAATACTAGGCAGATTATCATGAATCCTACACTCAACAATAATGAATAAAAAATTGATAAAAACTCCATAGTTTAAATATAACTTTACATTAATAAAAAAAAACTTCAAAACATGGTAGAGTGAATGAAGATTTAAATAATTTTAAAGTTTAATTTTAATACGTCAAACAAAGAAATTAGGGTTGCCACTTGCCATTGTTAGATACAGTCACAGAGTACTTTTGTATATAGGGATACAGTTGTCATTGATGTCAGTAGTAAGTCAGCAGCAGCTCGTGAGAGTATTAGTGTTCTGTGTAAGTCAGTAAGTTCACTTTCAGTTCAGTCCTACTGAGTACCGGGTAGTATAAAGAATAGATGCAGCGAACGCAAATAAAACATGGAACTATACCGTGACAGCGCGGGGCTTATAAACGGTGCCACGAGGTGGTTTAGGCAGTTTTATCCAAGGATGACATTATGCCTTAGGAATTAATGTTAGTTTAAATTAATTTCAATTTATAAAGTTGGTAACTTACTTTAAGTTAAAATTACCTTTGATGTTTTTATTTTATAGTTGAATTCATAAAGAGCTCAATGCCTTAGATAAATTAATTTGCGTTTCTTATTTCTTTCTTTTTCTATTTCGATTTCCACAAAACCCTGAACGAAGAAAACAATGGATAAAAGCTGTTTAATTATAGAGACACGAAAGTATGTAAAGTGTGCGAGACACGGGTGCCTACCAAGACTTCAAATGCTAACCATTCAACCAGTGACTGAGAAAATAAGGAGAGAAGATAGATATGGTATGAGCACATTATGAGAAGATGAAAGTCATGTGACTAGAAGAGTGATGAATATGAATGTGGTTGGAGGGTGCAAAGCTAATGGACGAATAAGAAAACTGAAATTGAGTCTTGAGTGAGAACTTACTTGAGTCTCACTTATTTACCCAATTTTGTTACTTGTGACGAATTTGCGGATTTTGCGGCTAAATGAAACTAAACTAAATGTAACTAATTATTGGCACTTAAAAGATTACTCCCTCATCTTCAAATGATAGCAATTTTTTTCGAAAATTTGTATAATGTCCTTGTATATGTTATTTCTTAATCTAACGCCCAGTTTCTGAAACACTGATCATCGTAGAAGTAAACTAATCAGCTGTCAAATGGCTTTTCAAATATTATTTGAGTTGACAAAACGATTGTTAAACTCTTTGAATTGATCATTAAAAGATCATTCTGGAAACACATAAGATGTATGAAAGTGATTTAGGAAATCAAGACCTGATTTAGGGGAGGGCAGCCCCGGGGCCTCCACAAAAAACCCTCATAATAGAGACAAATTCAGAAAATTTTTAAATTCAGACTAGTAAACTGAATTTGAATTTTTTCTTGTTTCCGATTATATTTAGGTGTTCGTTAAATAATATTAGAATCTATACTTGGTGTCATTATAAATTATTTATTGGAAATCTCGAATAAACATTGTTCATTTTATTTGGATAATAATTTGGGGCCAAAGGGCCTCCACTTCTTTGTTGCCTCGAGGCAGGGCCGGATTTAGAGGTCTGGAGGCCTCGGGCCAACAAAGACGTGGAGGCCCCTTGGCCCCATATTATTTTACAAATAAAATGAACAATTTTTTTTCAGTCAAGTTTTCCAATAAATAATTTATTGTGAAAGTAAGTATAGATTCTTTTATTATTTAACGAACATATAAATATAATCGAAAACGAGAATTCACGAAAATCAATTAAATTTAAGCGTTAACGAACGGAACCTTCCGAGCTTTTTTCGCAGAAATGTCGTTGATCATTTCGCTGAAATCCAGTTCCTGAAGCAAATCAAATATTAAAAACATTTCTCTTATGGCGCTGTATGCAGTGAATTTTCTAGGCTTTCGAAAATATACAAATATATGATCCCTATATTTTTTTGGGGTCAGAGCGTCATGGTCTGAAACAATCACTGTAGTCCTAAGTTCAAACCTACAGAAACAAAACCGAAACAACACCCCGGTGGCGCTGTTTTGGTCGTCACATTCGAATTAATTTTAATGAATAAAATTAATAGTTACAAATTGATGTAAACTTCTTACTTGAAACTAGCAGCCATAAGCTTATGTCATTGTCAATCTGTTTTGTTAGTGTCTTTGTCTATGTATCTAATGTAACCAAACTAATTTTACTGTTAATTTTAGCTTATTAAAATCGTATGTTCATTAAAGGTTTTCTCTTATTTCAATTTAACAAGCTAAAAAAAAAGCACTCCGGAAACAGATGCACAGTCGGTTCCTCCGCCAGAAAAATTGGACAACATAAAGTTTCAACTTTTGGTAAATCACATATCACCAAATATCTACACATATACAGCGTGTCGTTACCATCGCGACAATAAATGAACACACGTCTAACGCTACTTGCCGTTAAACAAAATCCATAATTAAAAAAAAATATTTTTCAAACAAACTAATTAAGTAAAAAAGAAACAAAATTTGTAACATCCTATACAACTCGCGCCACAGCGTCGTATTACAAGCCTCTCCTTCTACCAGTATGTTTTGTCTCTTTTAAATTCATTCAACCCATTCATATGCTTTGTGACCTTTACAAATGAACTTTACGTTACGCTTTTATAGGTAAGGGTGTTCTAAAATTGTTTGTTTTGGAAAATTTAATAACTCTGTAAATATTGATGTTTAAAGAATTTAAATGTTTAATACAACTTTAAAAAGTTATCCCCTATATGTGTGTTCATTTATTGTCGCGATGGTAACGACACGCTGTATAAGCGAAGCCACGAACTACGAAGAAGCTATCACAATACTGCAAAAACTGTAAGTAAAACCAAAAAATCGATTGATTTCTGTAGACACATGTTAGCAACAAGGAAACAACGACCAGAAGAAAGTATCGACACATTTACATGCTTTGAAACTACTTTCTAAAGATTGTGACTTTGCGGCAGTTGATGCAGAAAAAAACGATAGCGCGCGTGTTTTATAAATGACAGCTTTGCAAGACTATGCGGGTAAAAAAGAAAATCTTGCAATCAGATTATTTCTATGGCCTCCCTTAATCATACTTCACAAGTAGAAGGTCAAGCTTTGCAAACCCTGAAAATCCGAAATCATAGATATGATAATGTGAATCTTCTTATCGTGAAAAATCTATGTGCTGACATAATTATCGGCCATGACGTCCTCGAAGAACATTCATCGCTAGAGTTCTCTTTCGGTGGGCAAACTTCAAGTATGTAACGTAGCTGAAGCATTAGTACCAGTTGTACCGCTTTTTGCGAATGTATCTCCCAACTGCACACTTATTGGTATTAAGTCCCGAAGACACAGCAAGAAGGATAGTGAATTTATTAAAGAGGAGATCAGAAACCTTATAACAGAGGGCGTGATTGAAGCAAGTAAATCACCGTGGAGGGCCCAAGTACTAATAACAAAAAGCGAATCTCATAGAAAACTCCTTGTGATTGATTGAGTTTACGGTGGTAGGGCCACGCAGCAGCCTCGGCTGTTGCACGAACGGGCAGGCCCATCCGGGTAAGTACCACGGCCTTACAGAAGACCAGCGGACAGTGGAAGTATGACAAATACTTTCGCGTTTCGTCTGGTGAGTGAGGTAGCCGGAGCCCAATTTTCAAAAGGTTGTCAACGCATCTGTAACCCTCGGGTGTAACAGATGTCTATGGGCAGCGGTATTCACTTACCATCAGGTGAACCGTCTGCTCGTTTGGCAACTTTTCACATAAAAAAAAGAACAATGATTTATTGTGAATTAAAATAAATGGCTCATAAAAATCTTAAGCAATTTCATAGGCTCCACAGCAGAAATTACTAACACGACTTTTCTTTATTACATGTTGTCTTTATAAATTAGGTATTTTAATTTATGCTTTAAATGTTCAAGGCTTATTACGTTATATTCCTCAACTAAAATGAAATTTAAAAACTATAATACAATAAAATTTCTTATATCGAATAACGACAACAATTGTATCTAGAATCGAAATTTTGCCACCTTCTACAAATATCGTGTTGGTCCAAGCATTAAGGCCCATTTACACGATGCCATTTTCTTGTACATGCAAGAGCAATAATTGAATGCAATAAATTGCGCGCAATAATTGGTTAGACCATTTGTTGTTTAGACCATGCAACTTATTTATTGCTTCAATTTAATTGTATACAACAGGCAAGAAACTGGCACCGTGTAAATGGGCCTTAAGTGTTGTTTGTGAAAGAGGCAAGTTTCCTTGTTCACAACAACAAACAAAACTTAGTTTACAATAAAAATCTAATGTTAAAATTTAAGATATATTACGTTCTCTAGGGTTTAACAAATTCATGGTACGAATTTTGAGGGTTCGGTAGGTTAATCATTAATTAGACGGAGCTCTTACCTCGACACTCACATCACATAAAATACATTTGCATGTGATGCGTACATTTCGTTATACGATCTTGTCGTTTATACATGTATCCTTGGAAGGCACAAAACTTCGGTCTAGGATTATGAGATAGGATGAGTCATATCGCGACTAAATATCGATGATATTAGCTCTATCTCAGTGCCTAATTAGGGTTAAAAGACGTGAGAACGTTTTTTGTATTAGCAAACAGAATAAGATATAATATCTAGCAAACCAATATATCATCTTCTCAGCTATTGCCTACTTGTCAATTTCCAATTTATAAATTTTTACAAGATATAAATGAAATGATAGGTGACATAAAAGTAACAGTTAATCTTTTAATTTATTCAAAATTCTCGGACACAAATATTTCATGACAGATAAATACTGTATTATTATATACGTATTTCACGTATTCAAATTCTTTAAACTTGCATATTATGTTTCCATGTAAAGGCCCATTTACACGGTGCAAGTTTCTTGTCTGTTGTATATAATTAAATTGAAGCAATAAATGAGTTGCATGGTCTAAACAACACATAACATTCTTGAACATAACATTCTTGACTGTTGAAAGACTTGCTTCAAGTTTTGTTTCAAAACTTTCCT